CCATGACTCAAATGCAGTTGTTCCAAAGTGATAACCAACGCAAATACTACTTCAATGAACCTTCTAAAATTTAGGTAACATTTCAAGAGTAAATTCTTGTTCAGGCAAATTTGTATGCTTAGAAGTAGTAAGATTGAACAGATGCTTATTGTTGTTTGACTGGGATGGATTAAGCATCTGTTTAATTAAATTTCTTAATTAGATCCTATACATTTGGTTTTTGTTTGAGCTGAACTATTTTGTATGCAAAAGGCTCTTGTATATTGGCAGCCAGCAAAGAAGGTGCTGTAACTGTTTTGTTTCTCTTTTTCTCCTTCTTGAAGTGGAGCTGGAACCTTCCCACTTTAATGCTTTTCACCTGGATCAAAGTACTTGGAGGTAGAAGCTAAATGTGGGCTCGGCAGTAGAATCAGGCGCTGTTTATTCCATGCTTGAGCCAGCATAACTGAGTGTAAGCCTGCCTCAAACAAAATTCAAAGCAAAAGCTTTTTTCATGAGTGCACCCAAGCAATCTGGAAGTATTTTCCCTAGGAGTTTTCAAAAGCAATTTAGTTCACAAGTGATTTAAGCTTGGTTTAAAGAGAGCTTGTCAGTAGTTGTTTATATAAAGAGAAGCAGTTTAGAAAGTGCTTTCAGTGAAAGGAAAGGAAATTTAAGGTGAATCACCAGAGCTTGCAGAATAATAATTCCTGATAGCGGAAAAAAGATTCAAAACAGTAAAGCTAACAAAAGCACTCAGATCTAGAGAAGATACCATAATTGAGGCAACCTCAGTGAGAGTCCTAAAGCATCAGGAAAGCTGAATTGATTTTTTGGAGCTTTGTAATACCATGAAAGATTGGCAGTTATATAATATACAAGAAAATCACCTGCTGTGCAGAAGGAAGCAATGCTTCTTCTATCTATTGTCCTTTGATATTTTTAGTATTATTGATGAGATAGGGATATGCTTCTGGCTACAATGTGTTTCTGTGGACTTGGCTATTACACGAAGCTCTTAGATGAAGGTCTAATCACATTTACATTGTTCTAGCACTTTCTAGAGAGAGATTTTACAGCTCTTTACGTGAAATGTAAGTCAAATTAAACTGGTAAAATATGATGCTCCTTTAAGTTTCCATTATTTTTTTTAATGGCATTGATAATACATAATGGTAATAACTTGAAAATAAATGGAACCACATCTACTCTTTATTCACTGAAGCAGCCTGGGAAGCATTTCCCTCCAATTTCTTTATCTTTGTGTCAGTTAGCAGTAAAAAGAACCTGTGTTGTTAAGTACAAAAACTACTGTAACAAGTAGTTTTTGAAATTCTCACCTTAGTGCTGTCATGATTACAGAGTGTTGAGTGCATTTCCTTCCAGAAAGCCCTCTCACATGCGGCTACACAGATGGCAAGTACAGTGCTTTCAGAGGGGGTCACAGGACAGCTGAAGGCTCTGTGAGTAGTAGTATTCGCATTTTACAGATAAAGAATTCACAGGCCTATAGATTGTTCTGTGGAGAACCACACCATTGTATAACCATAATACAAGTAATGTCTGTGATACCTTGTACAAAGTTAATATTGTTTTCAAATAGATATTTAGTTTTAAAGTCAAAACTGTGGTTAAATACTGTAGTGACTGCATTATCACAGGTTGTGTATTTTTATAATCCTATTTCTTCTGAATTGTGCAACATAAGAAAAAAAAAAATAGCTATCAAAACCAGTGTTGTTGTCCCAAAGGTGTCACTGATATGAAACTTGAATTTTATTAAAACTGAGCATTGATGTCAAGTAATGACCAAAGTGGAAGAAGTTATGTTATTGAATTACTGGTATCATGTCACACAATGCAAGTATTTCTTGATTTTCTTTCTGAGCTAAAGTCTAGTCCAAAAATCAAAATAAAATTTTCACATGGGAAATGTTAATGAAAAGTGTATACCTTACCATTTCAGAAGAGGACTGTAAAAAGATGGAAAAACAGTTCATCCTCTCTACACTTGTTTGTTCATATCCCATAAGGCTGGTGATGTGAGGTGATGGTGCCCTAGGAGTATTGTACCTGTCTCTTCTACTCAATTTCTACAGTATTTCTGTCTCTGCTCTCTTTTTCTCTTATTGTTTGTGACATTCCTGCTTCAAATGATGGTGGATGGTTGACTTTTTTTTATTTTATCTACTTCAGGACTTTGCCCTGCTTAAAATCTGTGACTTTTTTGGATATGTACTACATCATGGCAACTTAGTTTTTCTTTTTGATGGCTTATAAATCTGTATCTGTATTAACAGATAATGTATCTCAATAGGAGTAGATTTACAGGACAAATGGGGTAGTGCTGAGGACCCAGCATCCTTACTGCTCATCATTTCAAGCATCTTTAACTCATACTGGATCTGGTCTCACCCCATGAAATGGATGCCCGTTAGCAGCTGCAGTACCTGAGGTGTGAGACAGACTTTTGGTTTAGGCTCATCTGAAATTGAGTTCATGCACTCTCGAGACCACTCTGTAATGTGAACTAGGGCATTTCAAATGGGCATGACAAGGAGGTTTGCTTCTAAATCACGCTCTGATTCTGAACTGAAACACCAATATAGACACTGAACACATTTCAGCAGAACGTTCTAATTACATTTCCAATTTTGTAGGCTCAAAATTCTGGTATTTTCCACATTTTTTTCTGAGGAGCAATATGCACTTTCTTTAGCCCATATCTGTAATTATCAAAATACTTTTTCTCTGAGTCATTCACAGTACACAATGTAGGCAAAAAAAATTACTACTATTCCCATTTGCTGTCCCTTTTCATTCGCTTCATGCATTTATGAAAATTAGCAGGATACCGTGAAATTGTTAAACTCACTTGGGAAGAGAGAAGCTCTCTCATCATTCAAGCGTTTTTGTGCTCCTTCCAGCTGAAATTAACTCGGTAAAATATAAGAAACCTTATCCTTTTCAATACCAAGTACAGCAACAGACTGTTTGAGAGAGAATAATAAGCCATTTGGGACTTTGTATTTCAGTATACTAATTACTGTGAATTGGTTGTAATATTTTTTTTGCATGTGATTAACTATTATATTTTCAAGTTCTTGTGTTAGTTTGGAGAACTTTTCAAAGATCGTTTTCTTTGCCTCATTGGAATTCATCCTTCTTTGTTATTAGGGCATTATCATAACAACATTAGGACATTTCTCCTTTTTGTAAAAATAAATTTGTCACAATATTTTGAGTCATGTTATTTTTGGTCTGCTGTTACACTGAAAATAAGACCACAGAATGAATAGCCAATATTGATATATGTAGCTCAATAGAACAGTTGATGAAAATGGTTTATTGAAAGTCTGTATTTTGGTAGTCAGCAGCAATGATCTTTCTTCTCTTCTATTTAAAAAAAATACATATATATATATATACACACAAAAAAAAAAAAAAAAAAAAACAACAACAATTGCACATAGAAACTAATTTTAGAGAAGATCATCACTGTCAATTGTGGATTTCCAGGAAGAATTCAGTGTATTGTTGCTTTTTTAATTAACTTAACTGTGTAATGTTGACATTGAAACAGCAGAAAACAGGCTTTTCAATGCTGCACAAACTAAGTCGACCCAGTATCTCATTTACATTCCTGTCCTGGTGTCTGCAGCAGATCTATAAATAGAATAGGCTACACATAGAAATTTATTATTGCAGCTGATAGCAATTTTCTTTTCCAAAGGTGTCTGGAGGCATTATTCATGAGATTCATTCTGGTAGACTTTCCAGCTGAGATTCTCTCTTCCCAGAACTGCGGGTGGTCAGTTTAGAAATATACCAATCAACTGCTATGCACAGGCTGTCAGAAGGTTTACTTATTTCCTTTTTAAAAAATGCAGCAGTTCTGTCTGCTCCAGATTATTTTCTTTAACCTGATTGCATGGATATTATAAGCTATGGACACATTTTTTAAAAATCACATTTATTTGACATTTCATCATTGAAATTCCTAATGATTACGCTATTATCAGGAAAAACATAATGGCTGTGGTTTAGCATAGCTCACATCATTTCTTTTGCATTCATACCCACAGGCACATGTGACCTTATCAAGTATAAGGCAGACATGTTTCTGCTCAGTGCAGAAGATATGTAGTAATCACATAAACTGACCTATCTGCCTGTTCTCTGATTTCAGATATAAAACAGGGAGGGAATAAAATAAAGCCTTTAATGAAATTACATTTATAGTAAGTGGTAGATAGGAATGCCTTACAATCCTGGTTTTCCTATCTGATTTTTTGTTTTGGACCATATTTGCCCTTTTCCTGTCTTTGTACACTAGAGAGTTAATTACTGAAAACAGAATATGCGCATTCTTACCCTTGGGACTGATTACAGTTGATTTTCTTCCTGGTCTATGCTAATACTTTTTCCGTATTTGAGAGCACAGGTACGCAAAAGCAAAGATATTACCTCTTTACTCTGGTTCAATTCCAGTAGTGGAATAGTGGAATATATATACACTGTAAGTATTCATATTTCAGCTTTCCTTTACATTCTGTTGTATTGTCAAGAGCTATAGGTAATGCTTGAATGTACAAATGATGCTTCCATTTGCGAAGTAAACTGGAACCTTTATGTTTTTGTTCTTTCTTCCTTTCCTTTTTTTTGAGACATGATAGAAGAGCTATTTTTCTGTAGCTTTTATTTCAACCTTTTATAAAAGGAGCAGTACAATTTGCTATTGCCACACATCATAAAAGCCATATATTTTACCAAGAAAGATGAATTGAAATATAAAATTAAACAAAAAATAATTTGTCAACTAGTGTGACACAGAAAACATTCTGGCATCTCTAGTGCCATATACATAAACAAACAAGCAAATAAAAGTTAGGAGAGTGAAACCAAAGCAATGTATTACAAGCACAAGTCAAACATCACTGGTTTCCTTTGAGAACAAAACCCACTCTTTTTAAAGTGTGTCTTGATACTTATACATTTTGTTTTGTTTTTAACTTTGCCAGTGATGCAGAAAATTGGTTTTGTGAATGCCCTAAACTCTACTCAGGAAGACTGTGCCAGTTCATGACTTGTGATGAAAGTCCATGTGGAAATGGTGCTACATGTTTTCCGAAGTCCAGGCAAGACGTTGTTTGTCTTTGTCCGTATGGAAGGTCTGGCATCCTCTGCAATGATGGTAAGAATGATGCTCTTTAGTGTGCATTAGTCATATTTTCTATCATTTGTGGAAGCTGTGGCAAGAAACAAGTCATGGAAACACAGAATTGCAGGGGGTGGGACCTCAGGAGATCATTGAGTACAATTCCTTTGCCAAAGCAGGTACCCTACAATATGTTGCACAGGTAGGCGTCCAGACAGGTCTTGAATATGTCCATAGGAGGAGACTCCACAGCCACTCTGGGCAACTTGTTCCATTGCTCTCAAAATCAAATGTTTTGAAGGCAAAACACTGTAAGTGACCACTTCGACAACCTCCTCAATTTTCCTATTGCCTGTAAACACAGCACAACACAAAGTGCAGTCCCAAGCAAAGAACATCTGAATTGAGCACTCTTTCTTCATGTTGTTTTACAAAGGCATCATCCAGAGAGACAAAAAGATCAGAGAAGCTGAGAGTAGACAAGCCAGGAAATACTAGGTAGTGGCTGATGTTTCAGTAATTTACCTTAAGAGAAGCTGACAAAGATATATGAGTGAAGTACTCCTTTGGAGAAAACATTTTCTCCTGTAGTTTGACTTTTGCTGTACTTAGGGAATTGTGACATTTTGTACATGAAAGAAGTGTATAAAAAGTACTTTCTGGATTGTAAAAATACTGCCAGATGCTAAAATTTGATTAATTCCTTGGATCAAAAAGAAAAACAGATTAAATGTAACCAAGTGCTTGCTATGAATAGAAGACAGGATGAAGAAAAACTATTGAAGATAAGCAAATAGGTCATCTGACTATTATCAAATGAAGGTTTTTTATTGATTTCATATTTATTATAATGATTGTTATAGGTCAGAATTTCTTGTGTATTAACATCCAAGGTATTCTTTTCCCTGACACTGAATGAAGCAACAAGAAACGGCAGAAAAATCTGCATATAGAAAATAATAGCTGATTCTGAGATGATTCAGCAGTGCATTTAAATTTCCTTTCAAAATTAATAATTTTATGTAAAATAGTGTTCAGGTCAGATCAAAGGGCAACACTGTCTTTTTCTTTTTACCATAAACATTTACCTCATTTAAAATTTATATAAGAAGAAATTTCCAATAATAAATTACTAAACGCGCTTACGTTGTCATGAAACTGCCTATTAAAACTTTAAAACCCTCTTTCTTTGCTGACAGCAAGTTCAGAGCCTACCATCCTATATGTCAGGCTAGGAATGTTTCTGTCATCTACCTACCTCAGTTTACACCTGTCTACACTGAATATCATCTCGTGCTTTTTCCCCATAGTCCTTCAGCAAGGCTTTTCCACAGCTCTCTGTAGTCAGACGTCTCTAGTCTGAAGTGAGAGGAAGTACACAGATTCATGAGTTTTTCTGGACTACAAACCTGAAGGATGTGAAAGCATAGAATGGATTTTTATTTAGGATGAATATTTATTTAGGTGGAACTTTTTATTTTTATTAAGTGTTTTTTATTAATAATTATTAATTTAATAAAAATCCACTTAATAATTTTTATTTTTTATTAAGTGGAAAGGGAAAACTCTCTCTGAATCATTACTGTAAGAAAAATGGGGAAGAAAAAACAAGCCGATAGAACAGAGTGTGCATCTATCAGGGTCTTAAAGACCATTAGGTGAAAAATTATTGAAATATGGAAAAGCCTTCTATTGAATTTGTGTCTCAAGAGTTTAGAAGTGAGCACAGGTAGAAATTTTGTTAAGCTAAACATTACTCTGAAAGTTAAAATGAGCTGCGAAAGATCTTTTTATCACATAAGCTCAAAGTGAACAAAGAGGTAAGAAACAGTACCACAATGCAGTGCGTGCTGTGTGCAGCCTTATGGATAGCCCTGGCAGCCAAAGATGTACTTTTGTTTTTGCATCTGAAGATAATGATAGATTGCCTAATTACAGTGGTAGAACAATTTAAATTGTGTTAGAAGCCAATTTTAATTGTTCAAGAAAATGAGTGGCCCAGATAATACATTTATTAGAAAGAAATGGTCCATAAAACTTAAAAGGCTAGGAGCATGTATTTATAATGAATCTTCTGTTTCTCCTGTGAAGATTAGTAACCAAGTGCATGCTACATGCTGCTTTTAGTCTGAAACACAGAAGCCTTTTTCTCCCAACTATTTATCAAGTAATTGATTGTTCTCATCAGCAAAAATGTGCAAACCTTAGAGTGACTGTTTGTTAAAATGAATGTAACAAATGTACTAAATAGAACTGCAGATTCTTTACCAACGCTGCTTCTCCTACAGGTTATTTACAAAAGACAAAGTAAAAGTAACTCAAGTTGTAGACAGAAACACAGATGAGCCTTCTGCTTGCCCATGTTAGAGATCAAAATACCATCAGTTATGAGTTTAAAGACACAGTAAGAACAATATCAAACTTTACAATTATATAGGAGTAAGCGATGATAAAGCTGTGTCACTATTAGAGAGGGAAAAAAAAATGGCAGGGGTGAAAAATGTGACAATTTGTGGGATATGCACAGCATTCTAGAAGTGAGAAAACTACAAATGACAAACATGGCAGAAACTTATAGACAGACAATAACTTCAATGTAATATGGAAAAAGAAGACTAGTTTCTGGAACAAACAAGGACTTTCCTTCAGCTTCTGAAGCAGGTGAAGCATGCTGCAATCTAGTCACACTAGGAGCAATTGCTTTGTGTTTATTTTGGTTACATTATTCTTGTTCAGACTTCAAATAGAGGTTACTTAGGGCCACAGAGATAACAAAAGGCCTGAAGCACCTCTGTTATGTGGAAAGCCTGAGTGAACTGGGTCTGTTCAGCCTTGAGAAAAGAACTAATGATCTTATTAATGTTTATAGATACCTTGAGTGTGGGTGTCAAAGGGACACGGCCAATCTCTTTTCAGCTATCTGTGAGGTCAGGACAAGGGGAAATGGCCATAAACTAGTGGATAGGAAGTTCTGTACCAGTGTGCAAAGGAACTTCTTCACAGTGAGGGTGACGGAGCACTGAAACATGCTGCCCAGGGAGGTTGTGGATTCTCCTTCTCTGGAGATATTCAAGACACATCTGGACACGTACCTGTGCAGCCTGCTGTAGGGGGCCTGCTTTGCAGGAGGGCTGGATGTCCCTTCCAGCCCCTACCATTCTGTTACTCTGAGATTCCTTAAAACATTTTCATTTTTCTGTATATATAAGTAGTAAAGTTAATTATCTATCACTACACATCTTTTCTTGATTTTTCACTGTATAACCATGTTACTATGATTGTAATTTGACCATTATATGTGGAGCTCTCTCCCATGAAGCTACATAGCTATATGTAATGGGTCAGCATGAGGGGGTGACAATATGGGAAAACATGAATTCTAAATTGCAATTTCTTTAAGTCATTCTAATGTGAGCTGAACAAGCAAGGGACCTCAGCTGCTCTTCATATATCTTTTCCTCAAGGTCCTTCAGCATCTTTGTAGGGTCACCCTCTGAAGATTTTATGTCCTTCTTATCTTACGGTGCCCACACACCTGCAGACAGTGCTCAAGTTGAGTCCAGCAAGCAGAGAAGTGGGACAGCCACTTGTAGATGAGCTTTTAGCAGCTAGCAAGGGATTCTTGGTTTGCACAAGAGAGAAAAAAAAGAAAGAAAAGCCCACATTAAACAAATTTGCACCTGAAAGAAGAGCACAGCCACTTAGAAAAATGAAAACTAGAATATATTTAGCCCTGTACGTCATCAATATAAAATAATTTGGATCAGAGACCATGTCTGCTTGAGTGACTTGACTCAGACTCTGAAGTGACTGATGTTTTTGAAGATGTACTTAAAGGAATCCAGAGCATTTAAGCTGAATCTAGTTATTGAGCTGTGCCTTTTCAGCTGTTTTATGTTAAAAGATTGAAGATTCAAGGCCTCGTCTGATAAATTTTCTTTCACATTTAATTTAGTAAAAATTGGCTTGTACTATGTTTCTTGTGGATTATAAATGAAAGTGCCTGTACCCCCTCCTCCAGTAGTTAGGATCACGGTGGTGAATGAAAGTGTTTGCAAATAGCACCATTTCAGACCAAATGAACACACATTCTTCAACAGTGCTATGAGGTTGGTTTTTCCTGCATAGTGATTTTTAAATTACCACCTAGATATTTTTTTGTCTACTTTTAAAAGTTGGTGAGGAAGATACATCAGCAGTTTACTATGGAGACACATGAGGATCAGGTTAGAACAGGAATTGCTTGCCACCTGGAGAGATTTATCATTTCATAAGATCTCAATTTTAAATAAAAAATTAGAATCATAGAATCATAGAATAGCTCAGCTTTGAAAAGACCTTAACGATCATCAAGTCCAACAGCATCCATTGTAATGCTTCCTCCACCCAAAGGTGATGCTTGAGTTCAAATACATTCAAATCACCATACTTCAACTTTTAAGATTAAGAATTATAACCAAAAAAAAAAAAAAAAAGCTTATAAAAAACATGAAATACGAATGGTTTATTCACCAGGAATGGATATGAATACCTGGAGTTCTCAACTGTTGATACAGAGATTTATGTATTACACAATAAATTGGGACTTTCTGGGAAGAACTTGGTTATAATATGGAGAATATTTTATGCTTCAAGAGTAAAAGGCATGCACTTTGTTAACAAAGGTAAATTTAAAAGAAAGAAAAGCATTTCAAAGCAATGTGCATTACAAAAATGAGTAATTGTATAAACTGCAGTCTTTTAGATCAAGCTACTCTGTTTATTTTAGTTTCACTGTGTAAAGATGCAGATGTGACAAGATAAAATAGAATCCTAACTGTGGCATTGCATTTCATAGAACACATACCAAAGAGGGCTGTCCCCAGCATGCATTCACAGCAATCTGTGAAAAAAGTCCATTGAAACACATTTCTAAGCAACCTCTATGGTAATCTTTGCCAGTCCGAAGGGTCCAGCATGTATAGAATGCATTCCCCCGTGTATAAAATTCATTTCAAAGTGCTGAAGTGGGAGTAGTCTCTTGCTGCAAACTCTGT